TTTTAGCTTTATGTGATCTCATTTGTTCAATTTTGCTTTGGTTGTCTATGCTTTGGGGGTATTACTCAAAAAGTCCTTGCCCAGAACAATGCCCTGGAGTGTTTCCCGTATGTTTTCTTTTAATAGTTTCAAAGTTTCAGGTCTTAGATATAAATCTTTAATAACATTTTGATTTGATTTTTGTATATGGTAAGAAGAGATAGGGAGGGGTCTAGTTTCACTTTTCTGCATATGGATATCCAGTTTTCCCAGCATCCTTCATTGAAGAGACTGTCCTTTCTTAAATGTATGTTCCTAGCAGCTTTGTCAAAGATAAGTTTGTTATAGATGTTTGGATTTATTTCTAGGGTCTCTATTCTGTTCCATTGGTCTATGTGTCTGTTTTTCTGGTAGTACCATGCTGTATAGGTTACTACAGCTCTGTAATATAATTTGAACTTAGGTAATGTGATTCCTCTGAGTTTTTTCTTTTTGCTCAGGATGGCTTTGGCTATTCTGAGTCTTTTATGGTTCCATGTAAATTTTAGGATTATTTTTTCTATTTCTGTGAAGCATGTCACTGGCATTTTGATGGGGATTGCATTAAATCTGTAGATTACTTTAGGTAGTATGGACATTTAAAAAATATCGACACTTCAAATTCATCAGCATGAAATATCTTTCCATTTTTTTTGTGCCCTCTTTCATTTCTTTTATCTATGTTTTATAGTTTTCATTTTAGAGATCTTTCACTTATTTGGTTACATTTATTCCTAGGTATTTTATTTGTAGCTATTGTAAATGGGATTGCTTTCATGATTTCTTTATTAGATAGTTTATTGTTGGCATATAGAAATGCTACTGATTTTTGTGTGTGACTTTGTATCCTTGAACTTTACTGAATTTGTTTATTAGTTCTAAGAGGTTTTTCTTGGATGTCTGTGTGTACTCTTTACATACCATTTGCAAACAAGGATAATTTGATGTCTTCTTTTCCAATTTGGATGCCTTTTATTTCTTTTTCTTATCTTATTTCTTTATCTAGAAATTTCAGTGCTGTGTTGAATAACAGTGGTGAAAGTGGGTATCCTTGTCTTGTTCCAGATCTTAGAGGAAAGGCTTTTAGTTTTTCCACATTCAGTATGGTACTAGGTATGGATATCTCATATATGCCTTTTATTGTTTTGAGGTAAATTCCTTCTATACCCAGTTTTTTAAAGGGATGTGAAATTTTATCAAATGGTTTTTTTTTGTTTGTTTGTTTGAGGCAGAGTCTCACTTTGTTGCTCAGGCTAGAGTGAGTGCCATGGCGTCAGCCTAGCTCACAGCAACCTCAAACTCCTGGGCTCAAGCAATCCTGGCCAATTAATTTCTTTCTATTTATCGTAGAGACGGGGTCTTGCTCTTGCTCAGGCTGGTTTCGAACTCCTGATCCGAGCAATCTGCCCACCTCGGCCTCCCAGAGTGCTAGGATTACAGGCGTGAGCCACCGCGCCTGACCTCAAATGTTTTTTTTTTTTTTTTTTTTTAGCATCAATTGAAATGATCATATGGTTTTTTTCCCCTTTGTTCTGTTTATATGATGTATCACATTGATTGATTTGTATATGTTGGATTATCCTTGCATCCCTAGAATGAATCTGAGTTGATCATGATGAATAATCTTATTTATGTGTTGTTGAATTCATTTGGCTAGTATTTGGTTGAGGATTTTTTGCATCTACATTCATCAGAGATATTGGCTTATAGTTTTCTTCCTTTGTTGTGTCTTTGTCTGTTTTTGGTATCAGGGTGATAATAGGCCTCACAGAATGATTTTGGGAATATTATTACCTCAATGTTTTGGAATAGTTTATTTAGGATTGGTATTTGTTCTTTGAATGCTTGGTAGAATTCAGCAGTGAAGCCATTGGGTAACTTGTTAGAAATGCAGACTTTGAGCCAGGAGTGGTTGCTCATGCCTGCAATTCCAGCTACTCTGGAAGCTGAGGTGAGAGGATGACTTGAAGCCAGCAGTATGACAACAGCCTGAGGCCCCATCTCTAAAAATTTTTTTAAAAATTAACCACTTGTGGTGGCCTATGTCTATAGTCCCAGCTACACAGGAGGCTGAGGGCTGAGGTGGAAGGTTGCTTGAGCACAGGAGTTATGATCAGCGTGGGTGATATAGAAAGACCTCATTTCCCTGAAAAAAAGAAAAAGAGAGAAAGAAATGGAGAATCTCAAGGCCCACCCAACCTGCATTTTAGAATCACTTTAACAAGATCCCCATGTGATTCCTATGTACATTAATGGTTGAGAAGCCCTGACTTCCAAGGTTTCTTTAACAAATTTCCTTGATTCTCATACATGTCTATCTTTTCCTTTCCAGTACTCATCAAAAGCCAGACCTGCTGTTTCCATATCACATTGCAAGTACTTGTTTATATTTATCCTCACATCTAAACTATGTTTTGTGAACAGATAATAGTCTTATCTAATCCTAGTGAGGTGCCATAAGTAGCGTATTGTAGAAGCACAATGAATAGTTTGAAGTTCTTTGAGTTAATTGCTACATATATAGGTCATGAACCAATTATTAAGATGCCAGTGACATAGTGGGATCTATGAACTATTTCTTCTAAAATATTTACATCTTAGCAGAGGATTCTTGAAGGAAATGAATTTAACCTAGATTATTAATAATGGTACTGCTGGGAGTTTTTGAGAAGTTGGCCAACTGAGTGGAAGTAATTTTTGGGGCAAGTGATTTTTTTTTCTTTAAATTTCCCTCCCATCCTTTTGGACCTCCTTGCCCATCATGAAGGTAGTCCAAATGAAAGAACTTTGAGTACTATGGGCTGGCTGAGTGGCTTTTAAATTGTCTTCTTCCTATAAGAGTACTAAACTGCAGTATCTCCAAATATAGACAGACCACATGAGAGACCCAACATACATTAAGTTTATGGAACAAGGGAACGAGTAGTTGGAGGGATAACAGGAGTATTAGAATACATTTCCTTGTAATTGATTGTCTGGTCACCCGTTGTCTTCACCAGACTGAGTTTTCAGAGCAGGGATGTCTATCTTATACACACTGAACTCCTAGCTGAGTACCTTGCACACAAATATAACACATTTAATAAATGTGGGGCATAAATGATTTTAAAGCATTGATCATGGCATTATTAATAAAATGACATATCTGCAGCACTTAAGCTGACAGTGCCAGCAGTTCAGATTGTATCAGCAAGAGACGGTGCATATTCATTTTTGAATGCTGAATCCTGAGAAAATAATGAATATTAACTATCAAATTTAACAGTGAGCTACATCAGTATTTTTCAAGTTACGAATGCCTTTCTTAATATCCCAGCTCCATCAGAGAAATTAGGCAATTGTGACACTGTTTTGTAAACTGATTTATCAAGAGTCTTGCCTTTCTCTGTATAAGTGCTTCACAAATGCTTTCTCTAACATGTATTTGTAGGGTAATAGAACATTAGTTGCATATTTAATGTCACCATAGTAGTAATTTACATGTGGATGAAAAGTTAACATAATGTAGAAATGTGAAATTAAATTGGTTGACTATGAGCAGCAGACCTGCTAAGATCCATTTCTTGATCCTCATTATTTCATCTCTTGGCTTATTGTGTTTGCTGCTTTTTCTTATTACTCATGAAATTGTCAGATAAGTCCCTGAGGATCCGCTAGCACAGGGCTTCTGGAAAATAGCGTTTGGACAGTTCACATAATGGGACCAACAAAGCCAACATGTTTGCCATTGTAAAAACAAAACAAAAAAAACAACGCAGTGTTCTCTTGCTTTGCTAATTGATCCACAGCTTTAGTAGGAAGGGGAGAGTTTGGATGGGAAACAATGAGAAAGCAAAGTTTCAGGGGACTGACTTGTAGGTTGTTCTGAGTTTAAGTGATGCTTGTAAGAATAGAGCCTACATGAGATTTTTAATGACATTGAATCCACTGTGGGAACTATTTTGGGCAAAATAATGGACATAAAAATTATTATTCTCTTCTATCAAAGAGTACAAGGAGAAGGAATGAAGCAAATGTCTTTTCTAATGCAGCTAGGAAAAAATAAATCAAACTACCCTGGGTAAGTCACAAGAGACAAATTACTTCTTCGTTTTCTTTGTTCATGAGATCACAACTGTAGCGCAATTTAATGTGCTTGTCATTATTTTTCTTCTGGTAGGCAGATGAGCCAGGGAGTAGTGAACTGGAGAAGTGTTCGCTGGCTTCACCAATTGAGATTAATCTTGTGGAGAGTCAGTAAGACCTCCCCAAGCGTCATTTTGAAGTCTCTGTGTGACCTCTGCAAAGCACTGTCCCCTCCATGCCTCATTGCCTGCATCTAAAGACTTGATATCACCATACATACCTTTACTTATTTAAATGAGAGAAATAAAAATAACTCTGCATTTATCCTCAGTATTATGAGTCATTCAATCAGGAGACTAAGGGTATGAAGGACATTTTAATCATATGTACCAGAGGACAAAATGTAAAGATGAAAACAAGTATTTTATAATTTGGCAAATCTTCCTGTTGTGCTAAGTGACACTAACTAGCTGTGTCATGAAAAGTAGTGGTACAAAGTTATTCCAAGTGATTCATCAGAACTCCTTTCTGACCTCTTAATATATATTTTATAATTATGCCTCATTTAATCCCCTTTATTCAAAGTTCCTTTCAGAATTGGTCATCAGAAAAATCAACTTCTAGAATTAGGCCTTTAGTTATTAACCACAGGGTAGATTCTCCTATGTATGAGATGGTTAACACACTGCTCTGCTTGAAGCCTAGTAGATTCCTCCTATTTCTATAATGATCAGAGTTTTAAAATATTTTCCTCTTATAAATCTCTATTTTCAGACAGTAGTACAAATCTTGTTTGACTTAACAATGAAGAAAAAGGAACAAACTCGAGGGAATTGGTATATAAAGAAAAAGTCATAATTTGAAATTAAAGTATTTCTCAAGTTTAAACTTAAGTGAACAAAAAGCACATGACAATATACAGTCTTAATAAAATTTTATTGAGAACCAGCAAGCCACATCGTTTATAGAACACAGAAATACCTATGATCCCAGCCCTTCCATTAAAAGACAATATAACATTGGGGTGGGTTCTCTGAATATTCTATACACTTTGTTTTATATCTCTAAGAGCGAACCAGTTCTTCTATGGCTCAATAGTACAGAAAATACAGAAATGGGAGCTCTGACTTATTTAAGGGAAGCAGAAATGGAATGAGAATTCAGTATGAGTGATAAAGGACTACAAATGAATTCTAGTAACCAAAGGAGTACAGGAGTCAATATTCTCTTCACATTTTATATTTCAAAATACGCTAGTACAAGGCAGGGCATCATCATAAGGATCATGCACAAATTAACCTGAGGACATAGAAGCAGAATATTCCCCTTAATTCAGTTATTTAGGGAAGTGTTAAGGAGAGAAAATGGCCTTAATCCACTTTTACCTAAAACTCTATCTACTGTGAAGGCATTTGATGCCAAATAATTGGAACTGACATCAAAGATGAAAAGGGAGCCTATGACTCTGAGGATTAAAGACTAACAACTCAGATGAGACCAATGCCAGTGGGATCTATGGAAATGGTCATGATAATGTTAACACTTTTTACATGTTGAAGTTAATTACTTGCAATTTCTCAGAACTACACAAACAGAAACATATGACGGGATAAATGAACACTGCTTGACAACCTCTGAAGGTTTTATGACCTCATCTGTGCATGGAGATCAGAGATCCTATTGAGTTTTCTAGGAAGCCACTTTTGGGGAAGGGTTTTTACTAGGCAGAAAAATATCTAAGGGAAAAATGTAATAGAGATAGAACTGAAATAGGGCTGCCGCTTCCTTTCAAAACTAAGACAGCTAGTGCAAAAGGTGCTTTCAGTCCCCAGTTGGGGGACTGGTCTCAGCATTGTAGCTTTGCCTGAGTTTAAAATCCTATCAAAACTTTTTTAGCTCTTAAGCATAAATAAAACAAACAATGACACAAATATGAAATCTTTCCAGTTTAATATATTTTTTTTTTCCTGGTCAAGTGAAATAGTGGGAGTGGATAGTTTAATAAATCTTAAAAAGGTAAACACACAAAAACACAAAAAACCTTTGAATTATGTTTGTGTTGATGAATTTGTTAAGGGATGATAGCAGCTAAACTGCAATCCAAACATTAACATGAATCTTATTCGAAATGTTCTTCTCCCTGACTTGAAGTCTTCCTGGGGTTAAACTAATCAAGATGCTTAGTGGAACACTGTGATGAAGTCTCCTCTGGCTCAGAGTGTGTTTTGTTTTTTCCCCCTCAGCTAGTAACTATAGTAGCTAAAAGAACAGGCACAGTATCGTAAGACATTTAACTAAACCAAATGAGCTTCATTCTTTTAAGTTGGACACCCAGCCAAAGGCAAATGAGCTTTGCTGTGCACTACTTTTGCTTCCTACTGTAAATGCTGACATCGCTGATCGGAAACTTTCACAAGAAAGGCAGAGTTTCCTTTGGCTAAGTTTCCTTTCACTTTAATTGATTTATTTCAATGCTGTTGATCAAACTTTTGTTAACTGAATCCTTTAAAATTTTTTGGCATTTTCCATATTGATTCATAAGAAAGGAAAAAGCAAGGGAATTTGATGTCTGAAGAGTTAGAAAGGGAGCTTGAAACAAACTGACAAGATTACTTAATTGATTTTGGCCAAAATTTGCATTGTTAATTAAGGAAGATGAAGATCTAAGAGCTCCTATTGTTAGACAAGCCTGGAGAGAACTGGCTAAAGTCATTATGCTAGGATACTGAAACAGAAAGTTCACATACATTTATTTCTGAAGGGTCAATTTAGTATGAACAATGAGGTATTTGTCTTAGATGCTGGAAAAAGGAGAATTAGTTTGATTAAATCATGTGAAGTATTACAGTTAACTTACAGGTGCACAAAATAAGAGGGGCACACCTATAGGGTGCAGTTTGGAATTATGTTTGAGTTTGCAGGTACCTCTTGGACTCCTGAATTGATCCAGCTGTTATCCACCACAGACATCTCATATCACATACAGTTGCAAGATTGACAACGGAGAATACTCTGCTGGAAAAAGACCTGGGTGAAATGAAGGACCACCTGCAGAAATGAAGAGCCCAGGGGAATCATGCTACATTTTCATCTAAAGAGAGAACACTTATCTGATGGGACTGAAAGTTCTTTGTTGCTTCAGATTGTAGAATGCTGTTGAATTGGTCTGTGGAAAATTGCATTGTTTTTATTTCTTTGTGTAATCATTTTAAGTAATAGGGGATATATGTAATCATAAATACTTTTGGGTGGGAGGGACATATTAATCTTAAGTGGGTGGGTTATTTAGAAAGTTAGAATGATATTATGTATTAGCTATCTCTATAAGTGGACATGTGTACTTACTTATGACCTTTTATCCTGTAACTGCTTCCCTTAAAGACTCCAAATAAACTCAGGGAGAACTGCAGGGAGATCAACCTATTTAGAGTGAATTGGACATGGATAAAACCCTAGTGGGAGAAAGTTCAAAGGTATTGGATTAATAATTTAATAGAGGCCCTAGATTGATGGATAGGCATCTGGAATGTAATTGATCATCATGGATGGTAAATATTCATGGAAGTTTTAGGAAAGTGATGAATAAACATCCCTGCCAGAACCACCCCCCGCTACCGCTGCCCGCCTCCTCTCCTTACCCCTGCAACTCCCTACCCCACCCCTTCTTCAAACTATATTGCTGTATTCTCTTTACTCTGTATTTCTATTTACTAATATTATATTGCTATTATAATAAAAATTCAATAAAGATTTAGTGTTTAGTTGCAAAAAAAGAAAGGCAGAGCTTGCACGCGGCTTACTGGAAGCACTACAGGAATACGAGAGGCACAATGTCGTCCACTACTTACACAATCACAGAAGGAGATAGCTAATCCTAGGAATTGAGCAGTGGGTTGCTTTTTAGAGCCTACTGTCAGTGGCCTTTAAAGGGTCTGATGATTTCCAGTAATATTAGCTATTTTGGTGCTAAATAGAAAATACTAGAGGACTGCTACCTGCAGGAAACAGCACACACTCAGTGGAAATTTGGTTCAAAGTTCTAATAAAAATAGTATATTTTTTGTGATCAAGAGAGCTGTGAAATAGGCACATTAAAAATTCTTAGACCCTGTTATTTTGAAGCTAAAATTTTTCATTAGTCAAAAAGAGACAAAACAGGAGTGGGGAGGGCAGCAATGGAAGGAGTAGGAGTAGGAGCTGATGAGTCAAAACATTTGTACAGAATGTGAAGCACCAGGGAGTCTTCATCTATCATATAAAACCTGATTCTGTGGTCTCAGAAATCAAGGAATTGTTAAGCCTAGGATATGCAGACATCCATTTGTTCTCAGCATGAATTCTGGATAATACCTCCTAAGTAAACAGCATTTCTATCAAAAGCTTCGTGTTCTTGTTCAAGTTATTGGTTATATGGCATTCCCCTTCCTGTTCCCTTTTTTAAACAGAAATAGAATGCTGTACTATTTAGTGAAAAGATCAATGTTCAGAAAAACTGATAGGAAGGAAAATACGTTTGGAAAATGGCTTATACCAAATAGCCAGCTCTAAAGCATAGTCACTACAAAGTTAAGTAAAACACAAGCTGAAGTTTACAAGGTCAGTCAGAGTGGACTGGAATCCTAACTCAGAGCATATCCACACACAGAAAATTAGCTTCCTGTTATTTTGTGAATACAGAAAAACACATTTAAATAAATAGTTCCAAAATACACTAGATTATTTTAGAGAACACAATAAACTGTTATTGTTAGCTTATCTTGAAGTAACCTTCAAATAAAAATTTTCACAACCACCATGTTTTAGAAGTTTTTGATTATAATGTTGGCTTAGGAAGCTTAGATGCCTTACAGATGAAAATAGGCATATTTGAAAATACGATTACCTCTGGTCCACATAGCTTCATGAATTAAAAAAATGGTATTTAGGTCCCAAGTCCAGTTTGCAACTCTTGGAATTTTTCCCATGGAAGCATACAGTTATATTTTTGTCCCCTTTCAAAATCAACCAGAGAAAAGCAAATTGTAAAACTATCTGCCCTCCTGTTGGAGGAAAAATATTAAAGAGAAGAGGTGGAGAAAAATTTTCAATAATAGTCATATTTATCTTCCTTTATCTATAGTTTCTTTTAAATATTTTTAGAACAGTAACAGATAGTTATAAACTTAAGTAAGATTTCTTCAAAGTTCTAAAATATACACATATGACTTCAAAATACTGTATATATTACCGGTGGGTAGAAAGAAATTGAAGTTAAAAGACTTCCTTGGATACTTTTAAGTAAAAGTCAATGATAAAGAAAAGAAACTGAACTAAAGACAAATTCTGAAAAACGTATTAATTAAAGCAAGTACACAGTTTGACTCTGTTTCCTTGAAAAGCAACAAAAGCATTTAGCCCAGGTTTGAGTATACAGAAAGGGTCATGCAGTGAGTTGCAGGGGACATGCTTTCCTTTTAGAGTTCAAATGCAGGGAATCTGGCTTTTGCTGGGACCAGCAGGTCAGCCAGGAAATATATTGTTCCAGCCATTCCTGAAGAAAGAGAAAGAAGCAAAAGTTATACCAAATGACTCCATTTTATAGGATGGCTCCATTATTTTTACTATCAACACTACAATATTAATGGCAATGATTTAAATGAAGGGGAATCTGTCTATACTTTATACATTGCAGTTCACCGTTAGAGGAGATCACTAGTGAGGTACTCAGCCTTTATTTCAAGGTGCAAGATGGGAGAGAGAATGGAGCCAGACAAATTCAAGTCACAGCCCTGCCATTTACCATATGTGAGCACCTTCACCATGGCACCGTGGGCCACTTACCTGCCTGACCCTCAGTTTCCTCATCTGTTACATGAGCGTAGTAATGCTTGTATGTTACTGCTGAAATGATTTATGACAGCATCTGCAAAATGCCTAGCATGTGCCTGGCCTCATAAACCGGAGTCACTATTACGACTACTAGTATCAGGTATGTGTGCTAATAATGATCTTTAATTGATTTGTCATATTAGGAAATAAGTAGCTTAAGAAATGACTATAAAATTAATTTGATAAAACTCAAATTCAAATACATTAATTACTAAGCAGAGAAGTAGATGCTGATATTATAAGGCAAATAAGTGTGAAAAATACCTTCAAAGAGGGAGAAGGGGGTATCAGGTGTTCTGCATCCGTGTTCTCCATACTCTAAGCACCATTCAGCAAACTGAAAATGAGGCCAAGTTAAATTATGATAGTGATTTCTTTCAGAGACTCCCAAAAGTTAACAGAGGTTGTCTCTCTGGATTACTCTGAGAAGTCAAAAACTACCTTTAAGTAAGAGAAAAGGGATTAATGCAGAAAAATGGATGGTCTGAAAGAGAATATGCTGCATGGGAGGAATTTAATGAGCTATCTGAGCCACATATCTCCAAAGTTATTAAAGAAGAAAAAGAACAAAATACCCCTACATCTTTCTTTTGCTCTCCCATAAATGCTATTAAGAAGAATTACATTCCTTTTGGCTAGGCGTGGAGGCTCATGCCTGTAATCCTAGCACTCTGGGAGGCCAAGGCGGGAGGATAGTATGACCTCAGGAGTTAGAGACCAGCCTGAGCAAGAGTGAGACCCCGTCTCTACTAAAAACTAGAAACCAATTAGCTGGACAACTAAAAAACAAATATATATATATATAAAATAAATCAATTAGCTGGGCATGGTGGCACATGCCTGTAGTCCCAGCTGCTCAGGAGGCTGAGGCAGGAGGATCACTCGAGCCCAGGAGTTTGAGGTTGCTGTGAGCTAGGCTGATGCCATGGCACTCTAGCCCAGGCAACAGAGTGAGACTCTGTCTCAAAAAAAAAAAAAAAAAAAGAAGAAGAATTATTACATCCCTTTAAAATAATGCTAATTTAACTGAAAGGCTTTTGAAGTCTTAACTGTGTTTGTTATCTATAGACCCATGGTTTTAAGAATAAATTAATTAAATCAGATGAACTAGAGCCCTTTCTACAACTTCCTGGAAGAGCTGCCATCTACTGGGCGGTTCTGACTCGTACCTTACAGGCCCTATACAGGTACTTCATGTCCTGCGTGAGGTTGTAGAGGTTCAGGAAGGCATAGGCGTTCCCCGCAGCGCCGTGGCACAGCCCGTATCCCTTCTTCAGCAGCCCGTACTGCCAGATCACATCAGCACACTGATAGGCATCCGAGAGATATTTTTCCTCTTTGAACACCTACAGTGTCAAAGGACATGAATTTTATTACATAGGATATAAAAGTAAGTTCTATTAACATTCCTTCTTGATAGGTAAGCAGGAGTGACAGAACAGGGAGAGAGAGTGAGGTGGCTTGACAAGGAAGGGAAGGAGATTTAGTGACAGAGAGATGTATTATATTGGTAATGACAAATTATTAAAATTGACTAGTTTTGCTTTTTTATTTTTATTATTATTATTATCTCTTAGAGATGAGGTTTCACTATGTTGCCAAGGCTGGTCTCAAATTCCTGGGATGAAGTGATCCTCTCGCCTCAGCCTTGCGTGTAGCTTGGACAATATAGGCACGTACCACTGTGCCTGGCTAGTTTTTTTTTTTTTTTTTTTTAATAACTGGGCATGACCTTGTATGTACAGTCTAAGTTTTATGTGCATGTTTGGTTTGTGTATGCAGGTATTGTTTATGAAGCAGCTTGCTGTTAAAATCAGTGCCTTCCCAAGGAACATATGCTACATTCTTTGTTAACTACGATGCCCTTCACCATTAGAAAATTTCTTTATTTGAGAAAAAACTGTGATTTACTAATATGCAAATTGACTATAAAATATGAGATCTTCAGAAAAACAGACAGACCTTTATAATCTTTTGCTGCCTCCCCTATCTTGATCAAAGACTTGAGAAATATTCTGAGTACATATGTTTACTATCTCATTATATCCTAGGTGCCCAAAAAATAGAATAAGGCAATTTTAAAAGTTATGCCTTTATATCTACCTTCTGAAATGTAGAATTTATTTTACCAAAAGCTTATTTAGTTATGATATGCCAGTGCCTGTTTACAGTCTATAGATTTGTAATTTGTTGATTTGGCACCATAGTATCTCTTAGTTTACTTCTGTTTTTTTTTTCCCTCAATTAAAAACCTTTTATTTCCTGATTGCAGCTTTGTTATAGCATGCTTTTTAGGAGTACTATTTACATTTTTTTTATTGTGACAAAATATACATAATATAAAAGTTACGATTTTAACCATTTTTAAGCATACAATTCAGTGGCACTAATTACATTACAATGTTGTAAACCATCATCACTATTTGCAAGATTTTTTTCATCATCCCAAACAGAAACTCTGCACTCACTAAGCAATACATCTCTATTTTCTATTTCCCCTCAGACCCTGGTAATCTCTGTCCTACTTTCTGTCTCTCTATATTTGCTTTCTTATTTATCTATCTATCTGCTTATTTTAAATACCTCATATTAACCATACATCATATAAGTGGAATTATACAGTATTAGTCCTTCTGTGACTGGCTTCTTCCCCTTAACATAATGTTTTCAAGGTTTGTCCACATTGGTGTGTGTATTAGAATTTCATTCTTTTTTTATGGCTGAAAAATATTCCATTGCATGTATATACCACATTTTCTTTATCAATTCATTTCTTGATGGACACTTAGATTATTTTTACTTTTTGGCTACTGTCCATAATGCTGCTATGAACACTGGTATACAGTATGTGTTTGAATCCTTGTTTTCAGTTCTTTTGGGTAAATACCTAGGAGAATTGCTGGATCATAAATAAACATAATTATACATTTAAGTTTTTTGAGGAACTACTAAACTATTTTCCACAGCAGCTGTACCATTTTACATTCCCACCAGCAATGCATGAGGGTTCTTCCTATATTTAATTGAGCTTCTGGGATACTTATCTTGGCTCTGCCACTGACATGATAATCTTGGCTATTCTGTCAGTGAAGCAGTCTCTCATTCTACGAAATGAGGTTGGTATGCATGGACTGTGAGAATGAATTATAGTCCATTTAGCAAAGTGTTCTTAGGTCTAACAAGATATTTATTTATTGCTCCTTTAAGGATTAGGATAAGACTAATTCTAAATTGTAATTTTTTTAATGTTTTCTAATTAATTTAAAATTGAAAAAATACACAGTACCTTATAGGCCTGAGTGAGCATGTAGATTACTCCTGGGGCACCATGACACCAATGGACAAGCAGGTCTCGATTATCATCCACACAAGGAGGATAATTGCCAGAAGGGAATTTCAGCTGGCAGACGTAGTCTACACTGGGCTTGACCAAATTATGTAACTTCACTTGGCTCACTTGAAGGCTGGGCTAAAAATGAGAAGGGAAATTATTAGTTTTGTTGAAGCAAACAGACCTTCCTAAGCCCCAGAATGAGTTTTGACCCAGAAAAAAAGCATGACCAAAAGGAACTGAAAAAAGGTCATTAAAAGGTTTGCATTTTATCCAATTTTTTCAACTATTGGATGTTTTTATTTCATTTAAATTTGTTTTCTCTATTCCCATAACAGATTATGGATGCCTGTATTATAATCTTTTGTGATTTTATTTTTTATTTTTTTTTGAGACAGAGTCTCACTCTGTTGCCTGGGCTAGAGTGCCATGGCATCAGCCTAGCTCATAGCAACCTCAAACTCCTGGGCTCAAGCGATCCTTTTGCCTCAGCCTCCCAAGTAGCTGGGACTACAGGCATGCACCACCATGCCTGGCTAATTTTTTCTACATAGTTTAGTTGGCCAATTAATTTTCTTTCTATTGTTAGCAGAGATGGGGTCTCGCTCTTCTCAGGCTGGTTTCAAACTCCTGACCTTGAGCGATCCGCCTACCTTGGCCTCCCAGCATGCTAGGATTACAGGCATGAGCCACCGTGCCCGGCCTATTTTAAGATTTTAAATAATGGAACAAAGTGAAACAAGGCTATCAGTTAACTATTGGGGCCTTCTGTATGTATTATTTTTAAATAGTTGGTATTATCTACATACATATAAGTAATTTTCCCAAGTCAAAGCTTGAGAATGTGAGTGTAAGAGGTTTCCTAAAGTCTCAATACATAAAGCATGCCTTAAAAGCCACAAAGAAATGCACAAGACAAACTGCACATGACTTTTGTAATTACATTTAGAGATGTAGTAGGTGATATTTCCAATAGAACAGAACACTGACATGTTAGGAGACCTGGAATCTACATCCCAAACGACAACATGATTCTAGATCAAGTTTTTCTGCAGAAGATTTGCAACTGATCTAAATGCAAGATTATTTTGATGTAAGAATGTCCAGATTTATAGGACACACTGTCATAGCACATATGAACTGCCATTTTTTATACCATTTTTTAAGTTTCTCCTTTTGGTCCTGTTTTTAATCAATGACTGCTCACTTCTTTAAACAACAAATTCAAAGTTGTTGTTTTGCCAGGCAGGTGTTAGGGTACGTGGGGGTGAGAGGTGGGCAGTGGTGTGAAGCCCAGGTGGCTTGTTGTGGTGTGATTGAATCTGATATCGGTGATACAGCTTTCACAACATTCTGAAAGTGCAGAGTTCTTTAGGGGACGTACAGATTCCACTTTACACAAAGAACAGTATTCAAGCTTGGTTTAAAGTGTTAGAGTAGAATGAATGTATTCTCAAACTTGCAGGAATTATCCAACATGGCCTAAAAATAATGTTTTATTTTATGTTGAACCTACATAGGAACCTACTAGAACGGACTTTCAGGATTAAAAATTAAATCATTTCATATAGATAATAACCTGCAAATGGAAAAATCAATACTTGGGTTTCAGATTTCTTATTACAGCCAACAAAAGGAGGCAGAGTATGTCTCCTGATTATTTGTTTCAATGAAAGGTCAATGAGGCTGTCCAGTCAATGAAAGGTCAATGAGGCTGTCCAGTCACTGACATGTAAGATTCTAACTCACCTTGAAACTTCAAAAGATTCTTTCCCTGAAAACTTCTAAGAATCTATATTTACCACTGGAAATAGAGAGCCACTGAAGGAATGTGCCAGAAAAATAAAGAAATTTAAGTCTAAATTGTTAAAAACCCTAATTATAAAACTTCTAATTGAGAAGTGCAGAGTAAATAAAACAGTTGGTCTGATTGCCACTAACACTCAAAGTGTGACTTTGCATTCCAAAGGAATAATAACCTTGAGTTTTTCAGCTTTGTTGTCCTTGTTTAGTTCTAGGAGGAGGGCAAGTCTGAGATTCATTTTGTATTATTAGAGCCATCTACTCAACCAGCTGGTAGGGTGTTTATCTAAGCACTCATCCTGAACGTATTAATAAAACACTTTTCTTTATGCCACATTATACTTTTGGGAAAGTGGGGGGTACCTTTGCTATCATTAAAAATCAGTTTTCCTTTTCATGAATTCTTATTCACAAGTGCCAATTTCTCCTTAAGAAATGCTTAATATGTCCCCCAAAATGATGCTCTCATGAGAAGTCCTCTTCTGACCCCCTCTCCCAAGTCATGTTTGCTACAGAAAATTCTATTTGTCCTTAGTTTATTTGACTTTGGTTGATGTGCCCCAATAGTATTAGATCCTAAGAACTGCTGAATATCCAGCTATTTCTCAGATAAGTTACACAATCCATTGAATAGTCGCCTCAGTTTTCCTCTCTAAGGCAGGCTTAGGCAACACATGGTCATCTGTTTTTTATTGAGTTTGTTCTTATTCCTAGAATTTCTTTCTATAGGTTATGCCTTTTAATGTGAAATAATATTCTTAATTCAAAAAATCTGCTGAAAAAGACAAAAGCAGAGACACTTCATACAGAATTATAGGTCAAAATACTTTAGCTTGCACAAGTGGCACTAGGTAGGTAAGTACAGTCATCTACAAATCAAATGTCATCTTAAAACACAGGGCTTTTTATGTGTTTTTATGTGTTTATATACTTTAAAACCCACCTTGGCAACATTTCTTTTGTTAATCTAGGCTGAACAGTTACAAAGAGACTGATGCAGTGATTGACAGAATGATAAAATAGAACTAGAGCATCTGTCTTCTCACCCAAGACAGTACATGGGTCAGGAAGTACATTATAAAGGTCTCACCTTAATCACGCCTTACCTGCATCAGGTAGTAATAAATTCCTGCCAGGCCATGAGCAGCCCCCACATAATATTCCTGGTACCATTCATACATCAGTGGAGTCTTTGCTGTGAAGTTTCTCTTTCTAGCTAAGTTTTCTCCAGAGGTTAAAACTGTTTCACAAATCTACAGGGAGAAAGCCGACCAAAATGACAAGATAATTAGAATAAAAGCCTTTCTAGTAGAGGTAAAGAATTTTGTGCTAAGAGATACTGGGCAACATGGCAACTTAGACACCATCTTTTGGCCAGCGAAGGTCATGGTTTAATTCTGCATCAGATAAGTGGATGCAACTATATTCTGCCTAAAAGTGGGAAGGATGGAGGACCTTGAACTCTTTGCACTACAGCTTATAAGAATGCACCAGTCAAAAGAAAGCATAAACTCCTCTAGGCACAAAAGGAGATATCTGTATCTGAGAGGTGAAATCTGGCCCTAATCTTCTGAAAAGAGATTCTTCTGTTCCATGTCAAATGGGGCAGGCTGGGCCTCTGACTTTGAGTCAGGAAGTGTTTCCAGCAGCATTCAGTGTGAAGCTGCTAGTTCTCTGATTGTACCGGACCTTTGGCAGTCCAGACACACCTTCTTCCTACTTGGGATGTACTTACTTGAGAGACAAAAACCATAGTTTAGGCACAGAAGAGTATGTGGGATCCTAAAAAGGATAAAAATGTGGTACCTGCTGGATGTGGCTTTGAGGAATCTTTTCCACTCCAAAGTTCTTATTGACAAAAAGAAGAGCAGAGATGTAGCCCATTCGTCCATAAAGCATTTCATTTGGGGCATGGGGATCAATCTTATTTAGGTGAATTAGTCTAGAAATAAAAATACATGCCCAGAATAATTTGTAAGGGATCAGGTATTGGTATATACCTAAAAATGGCACATTTAAAAATGCACATACACACAGGATATGATATATACATAATATATATATATATGATAGTCAAAGTTCAAAGATCAGCCTTCAACTAAATTTCTTTCCTTCAGTTTACAATGGAACTGATAAAAAAGAAATTCACAGAATGAAAGAATACAAATATATGACTGAGGCTGTCTGAAACCTCCCTCGCTCCCCATGGAGGCAGGCCCTAAAACTAGTACTTTAGTATTTGGGCTCAGAGAAGCCAAGAACTGCTGGCTAGTACAGCATTTAGCCTGGAACAAGGACTAAAGCAACACTCGAAAGGCCCTCTATGTCCATAAAATGAAAAGGTTGCTGCATCCCAGTTATCTCTTTCCTTAGTTTATTTCTTAATGTGTCACCAGGCCTACTTGAAGAGTATACAGCAGCCTGATGGACCATAATTGATAATACATGCAAATGGCACATAAGTATGTCAGTCTCCAGGTCTCCCAGCCTTCTAGTTCTTCCTCAAAACCACTATGGTTACCAACTTTTGTATATTCCTAGAATTATTTTATGTACCCATAAACATATTTACAAGTATGTTATTCTACAGCTGTCTATTTAACAACACATTTGACAACCATTCCGTATCAGCACAAAGTAATTTCATTCTTCATAATAGTTACATAGTATCCCCATTAAACGGATATATTATATTAGGTCCCTATTGATAGGCTGTTTTGCTTCTCAGAAAAAGTTATTATTTTTGGTGCTGGTGCCAAGTAAGATGTAATAAATACACCCTGCCTCTCCCATGAAATGTAGCTCCAAAACCTGGAAAGAATATATTAAGCAGATATTTGAGGACTGTGAAAAACAAATAGTAACAGGTAGAAAGGGGAAGAAGACCAGAATTTGAAGTATCTCCAAACCAGTGGTGAGTTTGCCACTTTTTCCCTCTGGTATTCCTAGCCTGAACTTAATACACCCCAAAACCTGAAAAGTGGGCACTAGGGACAGATAGAGCCCCAGAGGAAGGCCATTAGTGTTGTTTCAAGGAAGAACAGGCAAGAGAACTCCTAATATAAGAGACAGTGAGTAAACCCCCAATTTTTCTTTATTTTCCTTTTTCTTTTCTCTGTTCCCTTGAGCCCCAGGCTAGCAATTTCATGCTGGCAGCAGAGGCTAAGGCGAGGGGAGTCCCCAGGATCCTAAACTCCGAAGAGGGGAACTTTTCCTCACAGATTGGAGGAACTGTGGTCCCACGAGGGGTGAACCCCATTGCTTTACCTCTTGTATCTTCCACATCACCTGGCCCCAGAGGCAGGCTCTGTAGCGGGAAGTACACAACAGAGCAGGGTAACCAAAGTTTTCTTGCCAGAGGACCAAAAAGGGAAGCTCCAGGGAACCAGAGAGTAGGGGGAGGTCACAGAGGAAGATAAGCTTAGGGAAGTAATCATATTTGATAGCTTGAACTTTGAGAATGAAACTGTTTTTTCTTTTTGGATGGGGGAACAGCAAATAATAGGTAGGAAAAATGTTCTTCCTATTTTAGATTTTTTTCTCACTTTAAATTTTGAAAGTGCATCTCTAATGTCCTGAATTTAACCTATGAATTCAATATGATTTAAATTAAAATATTTTAATTTTTGGTGAAACTTGACAAAATGTTATTAGTATAAAGAGCCAGGAAATTTCTAGGAAAGAGTAGTAATGAGAGAATATTAGTTCTCTTACTACACTAGCCACACTACTGAATCTGTTATTAGAATTTTTCATCTATGAAATGAATAGTCCCTTTCAATTTAAAAATTCTCTCATTTGTTGCCTATATGGAAATTTACTTTTAAAGTAGTTAAGTCTAAACAGTGTACTGTGCCTATGTATGTATATCATCTAAATTTAGTCTATACACTAGGGATGGTTAATTGCATTTGAAGTATCAAAAATCAGCCCTCTTTCCAGGGGTGATATTTGAAGTACTCTAATCAGGAATCAACATTCAGAGGTGTTCAGCACTTCAAATACAGTGACTATTAAAATGTATACCAGGAATTTGTTATTATTACGGAGTTATAGAAAATGGCTTTTTATTGGTGGAGTGAGAGGCAAAGATGGGTCAGAGATGGGGAACCTGTGGCTTTGGGGCCACATGTGGCCTTCTAGATCTTTGAGTGCAACCTTTTGACTGACTCCAAATTTTAGAGAGCAAATCCTTTTGATAAAAACAAATCCTTTTAATAAATGGATTTGTTCTGTGAAGTTTGGATTCCGCACTTGGGGATCTGGAGGGCTACATTGTAGCCTTGAGGCAGAAGGTTCTAAGAATGGCTTAAGGACAATATAGCTTTTTCTGAGCTACAAGAACAGGGTAGGAGACTATTTATTTGTATATATGTGTATCTTCTTCCTAATAAATATTTCCACATTTGGCAGAATTGGGCAACTGCTTGTGCTTTCATTTTAACATACTCAGTGGCAAGGGTGTAACAAGAGGGGGTATACAGTCCCTACCACTAATCTCTGAAGGCCACTGACATTTACAAACACCAAAGCAACCAACCAACCAACCCAAACCAAATAAAACCCAAGCAAACAAAGACCTGACAATTGTTACTACAGGCTGTACACCAAAAGATCTAGTGGAAAAAAAGGCCCTAAGTCTGTAGTAAGGATACATAAGAGAAAATCCTCTCCCATTCTCCTTCCCACCACTTCCAAAGGCTTCTGGTGAGGGGAGGGGAACACTTAACATTTAAAATGAAGATGGCAGGATTAAATGATTAACATCAGTTGATAGTTATGTAACAAAGACTGAGGAAAAGCTATGAAAAAGTCTAAGGGAACTTACTCCCCACTAGGAAAGAGGGTTTGAAAAGCATGGCTAGTTGCAGATACTCTAAAAGTTAAACCTTTTCATATTATGGAAATTTTTTATTAAATTGATGCATCTCAAAATAGTTAAATATGCAAATGCTGGCTCATGCATTTTTTTTGGTCTACAAATATAGGTGATAAACTCACAGAGGAACAGTAGTTATCTTAGGAATAGGGTCACTGTGGTCGGAGGTTTCTTTCCATTTTCTAGTAATAACTTATTTTACCTTTTAAAAACATCAACAGGGCTATCTGAGTGGTAGAATTATGGGCCATTTTGTTTTCTACTTCAACACCATATATATGTTTGTACATACACACCCCCATAATTTTTAAAAGAACTTAAAACTATTTGTTAAGAAAAATTCTATTTTTTTCCCTCATTCCAGAACTGGAATCTCAGTAACATTGAGATCATAAAACAAAATCTGTTTATTACATACAAACTCAACTGTTACAGTATATAGACTGAATATCTCAGAGTTCTGATAAGAACCTACTGTCAAGTTTTAATATAAATGTATCAAATTATATAAATTTTAGTTTAAAAAGCACTTTGATTTACTTTGCAAATGAGATTCAAAGAACTTTTCAAACAGGGAAATAACTATGACTTTTTTTTAAACAAACACTGCTCTACGAAATACTGGCCAGAACAATTATTGCATTCACTCCAATGATGTCCCTACCAAAATAAAATGTCTAAACCACTGTATTAGAAAACATCATTCCTTTATTTGCCAGTCTTATAATCTACACTACCAGAAAGTCATGAGATATATTAACATTCTAATTATTTTGCAGCCAAACCCATTTGCATTAATACATTTCAAATACTTGAAAATAAAGTATTGCTCAGAGCATCTAATTAAAATAATACAGTTTAGAGGGTAATAAAGGAAATATTCCTTTTTTGGGGGATTTGAATTCAAATCACTAAAATTCATTAGTGGATTAGGGTCTGATGAATACTAAAGGTAGGACTTTCAACTGTATGTTTTACATGTTATATTCTCAAGAAAAAAATGAAGAAATAATATAATTTATCATAATGGTTATCATTATTTTTAATAGAGGCAGGGTTCTCACTATGTTGTCCAGGCTGTAGTTGAACTCCTGGCCTCAAGTGATCCTCCCACCTCATCCACCTGAGTAGCTGAGATCACAGGCATGTACCACTCATACTGGTTACTTTATGTATTTTCAGAAACTTTCAAATCCACAAGCACATTGTTGCAGCTCCATTTATTTGTTTCGATATGTTGATATTAATAGCAACACATCTTCAGAAGAGATAAGTCACTGAAATGTCACTGGAGGAAGAATAAAGAAAAAAAAATAGTTTTGTTCCACTCCTAGCAATATTTCCCCAGGATATTATTGGGGAGAGGTTTTTGCCTTGCATTGTCAAAAAGTTGTAACTTAAAAAAAAAGGATTCGTTTACTGACTCATCACACTACAAAGAGAGGTTATATTTCTTGATTAGAAAACTAAAGTTCTTTGTCATTCTAAGTACTGGCCCCAAAGCACCCTACATGTCAGGTTAGCCATCTAATTGGGTACAAAACAAGGAATACACTCTATTTTGTGTTGTGGCACCAATTTTCCATGTACAAGCAGGCTAAGGTGTGTGTGTAAAAATAGACATGTATATCAGGCAGTAGAAAGAACTGGCACCATATATTGTCCACTTGCTAAGCCATTTGTAGGACAATCTGAACATAAACACACACATGCATACTCCTTTTAGGGAGTACAGACCCCTCCAAGAAAAGCACAGATGTTCTCCCTACACTGAATACAATTTAGAGGTTTTATATACCTCTGACAGTCTTACAATTCTCAGGGGCTCAAGGTTAAGAACCTCTACCATACCAACACTCTGATTTGGTGAGAATTTATGGGGGTTGAGTACACCAGTCTGTTATCAGCTTTGACAGTGGTGCACTGTGTTTGTGTCTGGAGTGGAATTTGTGAATAGTTGCACAGGTCAACAGTATTTTTTAATTCTGTCTGCTTAACAGCCCATCATGTCAAAAAGACCAAGAGAATGCTGAAGGAAGAAAAAAGATTTTTTAATGAGGATTGGGAATTGCAGTATTATCTTGTTTCTGCTAATGGTAAGATGATTTGCTTGCTTTGTGATACTGTAATATTAACATTAAAGAAATTCAGTGCTCATCAGCATTATAACACTACTCATAAGGACCACAAATATTTTAAATTAGAGGGACAGATGCAAAAGGTTGTATATGCAGAAATTAAAAGATAAAAAGCAAAAGCAAAGACAACTCTTTCAAGCAGCAATAAAACCTGGAAATAATGCAATAGAAGCAACTTATAAAGTAGCTTACATACTCAGGAAAAAAGGGAAGCCATTCAGTGATGCAGAAATTGGGAAAGAATGCATTGTTGAAGTTGTAGGATGCTTAGATCCCGATAATGCTTCAAAGTACAAATGTATGGTTCTGCCTCTTTCAAGGAGAACCATAACTGATTGGCAGCATGAATTAGCCTTTAACTTAACAGAACAACTTTATGCAATACTTCAAAAGGGAAATATATATTATTCAATTGCTTTGGATGAAACTAATACTACTGACTCGGCCCAGGTCATATAAGAAGATTTTCTTTGCCATGAAGAGTTACTCCCTTGTGGCACTCTTGCAAACGGAATAGGGGGAATAGGTATCTTCAATAACTTCATGATAAATGTCATGAAGTTGGACTGAATTTGGCAAATTTTAGTGAGTGTATGTAGAGATGGTGTATCTTCTGTGAAAGGAAAACATGAAGGGTTTATTGCACAGATAAAAAAAGTATTAACAGATCCAGATGCTATCATTTCTTTTCAGTGTATCTTACATCAGCAAAATCTCTGTACTAAACCTACTATTTTAAGTAACACTCTGCAACACGTTGTAAGTATTGTTAACTATATTGGTGCAAATGCAACATGGCATCATTAGTTTCATAACTTGCTGAAATTGAAAGATGAGGTAATCAGTGTCGATTTGCCACTATCATTCTAAAATGCATTGGTTATCCCAGGGACAGGTGTTAGCCTAAGTTTTATCTTTTCAAGAGCAGATTGTTAAATTTTATGAAGAACGAACCAGTAATGTGAATTATTGAAAGAAGATTTCTATTGGAATGTAGAATTTCTGTGTGATATGTCAAATCAAAACAAATTTTCTTTGCAAGGTAAAACTAAGTCTAAACACAATATGTGGCAAAAAAATCCAAGCATTTCAAAAAAAGCTATTGTTTTTTCAAAATACTTCTTCAAAAGAAAATTTTGGATGAACATTTTCCCCAGTTAGCAAAGGTTACGGATGAGCAGGATATTTGCAAATCATCTGAAGAATACTCAGCTGTTATAGACCTGTTAATTGGAGAATACAATGAAAGGTTCGCTGACTCTGAGAATCATATCACACTCAAATTAGCATTTCAGCCTCACCTAGTTAACATCACCAACGCACCTAAAGAACTACAGATAAAATTGAAGCTCTCAGTAGATGATCTTTTAAAGTCATTGTTTAATGCTAAAAAAAACCCAATTGAAATATGGAAAAATGCAGTAGAATACCCATGCCTTTGGTAACATGCCTGAAAATACTTTTTTTGCTTTTCAATCACTTATTGCTATGAATCTCTTACCTAACCCAAATGAAGATGCCCTTAAGGTCACAAATGACTGATACCCATCTATAGGATCAACTGAAACTGTGGACCTTCATATTGCAACCATATATTCAAATGCTTTCTAACCAAGGAGAGACTGTGCAGTCTCTCCTGAAAGAGAATCTTGCTTTCTTTTTGCTAATAATACATAATACCAATGGCAATAAAATGCCAACATGAAAAACAACTATTTGTTTGTGTCAGGTTGAGTACTATACAACAAAGTCCTCAAAAGGTTAACTTTAAAATTAACAAATAGTTTTCATTTGTTGAAATTATTAAGTACATAGTAGTTAGATTTTTACCAAATAATGTACATTTTTAAGTATATCTAATTGAAGTTTCTTGAATGTGGTCTTATTTGATTATAGCTAAATTAATGTGGCCTTCTAACATGAAAAGGTTCCCCTACCCCTGGATTAGACTTTTGATGCTCTCAAAGGCCCTTTTGGTCACTGAAACTCAAAATTATGATTTTGAAAGACTATTATATTAAGAAAATGCAGACAAGGTAAGCTGAACTATGATGCTGACAGTGGAGCACAATATAGACACTACACAGAGCATTTCAGTATCTGTGATAAATCCAAAGGGCTGTGATATGAGAAAGAAGGTTTGGTAAAGAGTAAAGCAAATAAGTACGTTTATTAAATAATTGATGATATTAAATAATTTTGGATTTCCTGAAACTGAGTTGAAAAGGTTTATAGATTTTTCCTTTAAAAGGAAATGGGAAAGATGAAGGAAGCTCTGTAATTTAAAAATTATTTTTTCACTGTTTCACCACGAAGTCCAAAAATCTGAAAAATCAAAGCTGCAGCCACAAATAGTGTTTTCCTATTATAGCCATATTCTATACATTTAACCTTAACAAGCCTACTAACTATAAATAAAAAACTGTTGAAATGTATTAAAATATAAAAATACATAAATAAAACACCTTTATTACAAAATATCAAAACAGAACAAAATCTTAGCTTGCTCTTAAGAATGCTTTAATTTTAATAAACCAATATTGATATATGGTAGCATTTCCCAGAGTGTTTTTTAGAATAGGCTGTCAAGATGCCATGCGGAAACAGGGTCTTCTAAACGTAAGTTTGGCAAATGCTGTTCCCTAGAGTTGGTGTGTTCCCCCAGGTACATAAGCTACTGAAGACTGAACAGCCAGGAAAAGATGCACATTTAATTTTAATTAGTGATCAAACACAAACCCCCATCTGTTTGAATACACAAACCTTGTTTTCATAGAACTCTTATTAACATTCCTCACATAGCAAACTATTACCATTTGGCTGTACATATTTTAGAAAAGGCTGGCACTGTATATAAAATATTGGGACCACAACAATTTAATGTGATGGTACTTAAGAGTGATTCATTGAGTAAGAGTATCTTGTGGACATATAAAGCAGATTTGTGACTAATGGCTTTAAACTGGCTATGAAAAAAAAGGTAGAGTCTGCATTTCATATATAGGTAGTATGGAATAGTTTTTGTATTGCTGGTCTTGTGCAAGTCAAATACCATGGAAGGAACACACTCTAAACTTTTTGGGAAGTCATTGTTTTATTTCATTTGCCATTTTGATCAAGCTTGGTGACAGGTTTTATATTAAATATTTCTCGGTCCTGGAGAAGAAGGTTCAGTTTTTTCCTCTAGACACACTAAGTCATGTGGTATTTGTTTTTTAGTAACACTGTATAACTTCTGGCCTCAAACAGATGTAGTATAGGCATGTGTGAAAAAGAGGTATTCTTACACAGTGGGTGTGGTGCACACCACATGGAGGCTGGACACGCTAGAAGCTCTGGTGTAGCAGGGTGGGGGAGGAGGGCAGGGGCAAGATATGTAACCCTAACAATATTTGTACCCCCATAATATGAGGTAATAAAAAAATAAAAAAAAATTTTAAAAAAAGAGGTATTCTAAAGTATTATGTCAATTCTGGCAGTGACCTAATATAATGATTCACAAATCATTATAGGTAAAGCAAAAGACTCCTTTGGCCCACCCACCCCCTCCTTTCGTTAACATTTCCAGTAGAAAAAGAATAGGAAAATATCATTGTATGGGACAAAAACAGGAGAGGGGGAAGAATTTCCATATATATGAGAAATAAACAAGGAATAAATAATTTCTTCTTTAAATACAACATAATTATATCTTAAAAAGTCAAGGAAACCTCTTGATGAAACACACACTACTACACAGTACAAGATTAACTAATGGATCCTCGATCAACTTAAATGGTGATGATAAAGCTATTCTAATAGTAATTTATGAGAAAGAATAATGGGAATCAAAAACCATGGTCAACTCAGGGACACTGACCAGTTAAAGTGTTGCTGGAGTTGTCCCTCTGCATGTTAGCGTTTGCATGCTCAGTGGGAGCCTAACAGCACTGTGTGCAGAATTGCATGGCAGCCAGATTTCTTAGAATTCTGAGAATGCTCAATGAACTCTGGTAAGGCAATGATTGTGGTTTATTAGTACAAAAGTTTAGTAACTCTTCATAATTCAAAAGCTTCTAGTGGACCACCATGACTCATATTAAAAATGAAAATTGGGATTTGTATGTCATTGCCCCCAAAAAGGCAGTTTTGAATCAGTTTGTGCTCCCTTAGAAGGCCTCTCCCAGCCCTCCAACAAGAAGTGAACTACATTTCTTTGACTTACTGATCCTGGATAGCACCTTGGATAAGTAATTACATGATTAGGCTTTTGATATTATTTATGTTACTGAATTGATGTTTGATCTGGAACATGACTATGTCTTTTATCTTGCAATAAATTAGGGATTATAATGGTTGTTCTTTAAGAATAATATGAGAATTGATTAAATGACAGTAGTAAGATTTATCTGCTGAGAGAAAAGTAAATTCGCTAGAAGGTTCTCTGGCTAACACGTGTAGAATGAATGCATAATGATGTCCAGACAATAATCCTCACAAAGAAACACGATTACCGTGTAATGCAATCTTCTGCCTGCTTCTCGTTGTTTATCTTGTCATACAGCACAGCAGCCACCGCCAGGGGGCCTGCATCCCCACAAAGAAAAGTGATGGAACGTTTGGTCAAACAGTTCAGACTTTGCTTTACGTAGCCATGTGCCATCTGTAGGTAGGCAGGGTCCCCAAATACATCATAGAGATGTAAGTAAAGCACAGCAATACCTGAAAAGCAAAAAAAAAAAAAAAAGAAAAAAAAAGAAAAAGAAAAAAGTAAAGATGAGAAAAGGGAAGAGTAATTATTTTACTATTTTGGTGTGTTGCTTACTCAGCAGTGTTGACTTTTGCTAAGCTGTAACAAATACGTAAATTATCTGGAAGTTTGGATAACTTCAGTTGTAGGCTCAGGTCTCACTAAACTGCTCTGAGAATAAGGCATAGGCAAATCACTTATCTGAAGTTTTCTCATCATTATCACTCTACTAAATAATAAAAACTCTAAGACTCTGGCCAATAGACACACAGTCTATTACTAATCTTTATTGTATTCTAGCTATTGTGTTAATGCATTATTCTTGATTGTTAAATGACAGGTCATCAAACTATGGTTCCAAATAGTCATTTATTTATTTAATGAATAATGATTTATTTAATTAATAATAAACCTGAAATGTTTTGTTCTTGTGAGCTAAAGAAATTCAAACATTAGGTAATGAAAAACTCTATTCCTCCTTATATAAAAGATAGGTTTTTGTATGAAAAGGTAGTATATGTAACCAAATCCCCTATATCCTTCCAGGCAGGGGTTATAAAAAAAAGTTATTTGACATTTGAGAAAACATATTCAATTCCTCCTTAACTTTTTTTCCTTTGTCAAGGACCCAGCTACTTTGGTAACTATAATTTAAATGCTGCCAATGATTTTTGCCATGGGCCTTACTTAATTTGCTTCTTATCCTACTCTTGATGCCTACTATATATGTAATTGAGACGCTGTCTGCATGTCCTTATTTCAAATGTCTGTCACAGAGGATAGAACCTTTTCTCTGAAGCCAGCTGGTTGCAGGGCAGACTCAAAGATGTGGAGCAGGAAGCCTGCCTGCCTGCCTCCAGCATTTCCAGAAATCCATTTTTCCCATTAAAGTACATTTTCCATCTCATTTACCATTTTTAGAAGACACAGAGCCTCTGTTTAAATCTAAATTAATAGAGCCAATCTCTTCACAGATTTCAATGCAGTAAAAATGCAGTCTGCAAAATTACTTTTCACTGTACTGCGCGGACAATTTTAAATTTAGATAGTTTTCTCATCTTGCACGGGTAATCTCCAAAGCTTTGTGCTACAGACAATTCAATTTCACATGTACATTAAGGCCAAATTTTCATTTCCTGCCAAAGTTAATAACCTTGTCTGCTCTTTCAAAGTGGCTTAGTGTTAGTAATTCCACAAGCTGATGATCAGATGCACCAATGCTTATGGTTTGTAGACAAGTGTACAAAACCACGTATGTGGGTAAGAAAAAAAAATTCTCCTTTTCACAAATGATCAATGTCAACAGCTTCTTCTAGAATTAGGTCCTTAATAGGCTTCATCTCCATCCATATCATGCATCTGCAGGCGATCCGTTTAAACTGTTACCCTTTCATTTTGCCCGCTTATTCCCACTGCTGCCTGAACTCCCCTAATTAAGTTATGTAAGCACCAAAGCCAGATAATGACAAGTCTGAGATCTGAGAAAATAAAAAAATGATTAAAGACAAGCCCGATGATTGTTTTCCTTTTCAGACCTTTGTCTCTCATTTGCAACAATTTCTATTGGCCTAAATATTTAACAAACAAAACCTATTAAAGCTTGCAATTGTCAGGTTTGATGTATTTCTGATGGAAAACAGGTAATCATTTCTTACAAGTCTTGTAACATTACATCTGGATGAAAAAATTTTCTTTTCTTTTTCTTTTTGATCAGCTGAGGATTATCTTTCTAGTTTCTGGGATTCCATCACCTCAGGTTCCATTTCTCCCCTTCCTCTCGTCTGGGCCTCAGTGTCTGCAGGTTTTGATAAGCAATCTTTTGCAGGTCACAGTTTACTGTGCCTATGATCCCTGTCACAAAACACCCATGGATGAAAAGGACTTTAAGTGATGGGTGCTGCTGCCAATTAGAAATATTCTCTTACACATGCTTATTATAAATCAAGTCTCAGGACAGGAAAATAAGACAAAATGCCTAAGTCAAAGACATTATTAATACCTCATCACTGATTTATAGCCCATGTGTCCTAATTTAATGGTAGCAAAAATGGAGGCCACATTTGGCTTGTGGCCAAATGTCTTGAATCTGCTCCTTATGGTCCTCTGACCCTTGACAATATCTATGCATATGACATCACCTTTAAATAAATACCAAAGACTTAGGGATAGCTCGCAAGGTGGGAAAGACACAACTTCAAAGGCTTTGCAGGAAAAAGTCATCTAGTCCTTATATACTCACAAGCCTGGCTTTAGTAAACTCTTTCAAATGTAATTTTTATTAAAACATATATGTTCTTCATGGAAAAAGTCATGTAGTACTATAAGACTTAATATGTAAAACACCAATTCCCTGCCTCACCCTATTCCTGTCTCCCAGAGGCAACCACTTTAAATAATTTTAGCTATTTCCTCTAGTATTTGCCTCTATATTTCTAATGATATGCTTATGTGCTATCTCTTGATTTTTCTATTTCAGATATTTTGACTCATATTCTACTCTGGAAGATGAGGAATTAGCTCCTGTGATAGAAACTTCTAAATGAGTCCCCAAATGTATATCTCCCTTTTTCTCAACAATAATGCCTTGGATTTCACCTGGGCACAAGGCTGCCCAGAACAATCTTATTCACAGCTGGGTATGGCCATGTGACTAAGTTCTGATCCATGGGATGTAGTGGGAGTAGAGGGGGCAACTTGGGAAAATGTTCTTGAAGGGAAGGGACTAGCCATTTCTTTCCTTTTCTGCTCTCTTCCTGGCTGGAATGTAGATGTGATGATGCAGCAGAAGCAGCCATTTTAGACCATGAGTTGGAAGCTCTGTGATGAAGTTTTAGGTAAAGCATCAAGATCAAAACAACCTAGATCCCAATGACTGTGCAGCTGCCATGCCAGTCTCTAGATTGCCTATTTACACAAGAGGGAAATAAACTTCTGTTGTGTTAAAGCTACTGTTATTTTAGATGTGCTGCCACATATCAGTAAGCCTGATTCTAAAGAATACAACTCTTTTCAAAGCTAGAGAAGTAGGCAGGAGCTAGATCATACAGGACCTCATAAGCCAGTTAAGGATTTGGGATTTCATTTGAAAAGCACCATTTTAAGCATGGGAAGAACATAGTTTTTTTTAAAAAACAATTCACTATAAATGCACTGTAAGGTTTGAAAGGGAGTGTGTGAAATGGTGGATGCAGGAAAAGCAGGGAGGAGAGTGCTTCAGGAGTAAGAGTGAGACACAGGGTGGGTGATTGTGGTACAGATATAATGAGAGTGAACTGGAAAGATATCTGTCTGAAAGGTAAAATCAACACATCAACAGAGCCTGGTGGGCAGTGACCCTGAGGGAGATGTCAAATGGCTCCTGGATGTCTAACTGCAATAAATGGTGTTGGGAAAACTGGATATCCACATACAGAAGAAGGAAATTGGACCCTTATCTCACATCATATACAAAATCAACTGAAAATGGATTAACCCTTTGCACTTGGATGTCGAGTGTGACTCGACACAGTTAGCATCGGTAGCAGCTCATATGTAGCATCGGTAGCAGCTTGTATGTGGAACCACACTCGACACATAGTTTCACCGCGGGGAGAAGGGGGTGTTTTGTCTATTTTTCCAGGATCTTTTCTTGTTTTCATTAGCATGAAAGGACAAGTAAAATGTAAATGCAGAGATGGTACACTAACTTCCAGGGGTAGATTATTATCCACTAACTTAGAGCAACGTTTAGATGGAATGCTCCATATAATCACACCTCACCCTAACAAAAAACACAAAGATTGTGTTGTTTGTTCTAATAGAAAAATCAAACGAGGAAGAGGAAGAAGACAGACAATTTGTATTTGTGAAACATGTGAATGTAAACCAGGTTTTCATGTGGGTGAATGTTTCAAAAAATATCACACCATGAAAAATTATAGAGATTAAAATTATTCTTTGAATGTATCAATAATTTGAAATATAAAAAAATCCAAATAAATAAGTTTGTATGAAAAGAAACTCCAGTTTTTTATTCTGCCATGCTTTGTAAAATCTGGGGTATTTAAAAAATTAAATCCCGAGTAGAATAAAGTAATCGAGAAAAAAGCAAGCAAGTGCAAAGGGTTAAAGACTTAAGATCAGAAACACAAAACTACTAGAAAAAAAAAATAACAGAAAAAGCACACATCCAGACATATATTACTCTGATCTTACAACTCCTGGAATTAGTTTCCTTTAGAATTTTAATGTCCAAAATGAAAGCCTCTAGCCATAAATGTCTATATAAACTTAATTAAAAGACAATAAAATTTAAAATTCAGTTTCTCAATCACACTAGCCACATTTCAAACGTTCAATAGCCACATATGGCTAGTGGCCATTGCAATGGACAGCAAAGTTTAACATTTCCATCACTGCAGAACGTTCTAAGGATAGTACAGCTCTGAAAACTAGGAATAGATGTCATTTTGTATAAGAAGTTCAGGAAGTTCATCGCTGCCTCACAGTTCACCCTAGGAATTTCTTGGTTTTGAAATGTTGATGACTAATTTACTTGAAAGAAAATAGTATACTTGAGGACCAAATAAAACTCTGCTGGAATAGGAATTGGTCCTGGCTTCAGTATGGAAGCTCTGGACTAGACTTTTCTATTTTTTTTCTGTAGATACTATTCTGGGACAGAGGGTAAATTGTTAAGGGACATTTCTAAATCTGCAATTTCCTTACTCAGCTACTTATTCCCAGTAGTACTATAAATACAGCCAGCTGTTGAGATGTAATTAATACCAACCTTTTGAATTTCTGAGGGATCATTAGTGTTATTCATCTTGACCAACAAAGACCTTGCTGTCTTTCAAATGTATATAGAGATGATAAAAATCTTCATGGCTATATAGACCTCTCAAAACACTTCTCTGTAATTTTGCGTTCTAGAGATGATCCCTAAACATTTTTCATTTATTTTTTATCATTCATTTCATTCATTTATTAC